TAGAACTTTACCCCAGACTTTTTAGGCATGTAAAATGTCATTTTAAAATTCCAGAACTCCCCGTGGGTTTTCCGGACGGATACCAACCCTGTATATCATGTTAGCCTGTTGCGACCCCAAACGTCATAGAAAATTCACCAAGAATGCAAAACTTTGTTTGACCCTTTTTATAGCCTATAGTATTTCACGATAGATGATCACATGATCATGTGCACTGTGCACATACGTACCGCTTATAGGAACACTGCGGCTCTTTCCTTTTTCTGCACATATATGCTCTTTGATGTGCATATCCGTCAGCATCTTCTGTGGAACTACCGTAACTGCTATGTCACTGAACCTAAAAGGACAATAAATGATTCTCTGTTTAAGATTAGGACTCTGTTATGCAGTAAGCTAGGTTACGGCGACGCTATGCTGATTGTTTACGCCTTTCATCAAACTCATGCAACTCACGTACGTGGCAGTCATCTCAGACGCCATGTCCACTTGTATTTCTGGGTGGCTCCATTCGTTAGCGGAGAGATCGGACTTTTTGGATACCAATCGGTGAATGTGCGACTCACATTCTTTGGTGACCAAACTTACTACTATCTTAGCTCGTGATCCATAACCTACCAACTGACGAGAGAGAATATGTTTAGTGTAGGTACACAAGCTTTCCGACTCACCGGGTCAGAAATATTTGATGAGATTAATACAGTCAACCTCACTTAATTCGTCATCACTTTATTCGTAGAATGACCTAATTCGTACAAAAACATGTGGTCCCAATATTTATCTTCTTTATTCCCTTTAATTTCGGTTGTATAATTCGTATTCTGTAATTCTTAATTCGTACAAAATTCTCTGGTCCAATTAACATTATTCAATTCAAAATGACATGCGTAATTCGTAGGGGAAGTTTGTTTATGCAAGCAACATTTTATCTGAACCGACGATCGCCTGTAGATCGCGCACCTGAGTTTACACGAGTTGTTGCTGTGTGCTTGGACGCATTGTGTTTTTTTCAGCTCGCGTGGAAACAGTCGTGTCTGTTTAACTAGGTACATCTGATGTCACGCACCTTGACACGAACATACTCCTTTTTCTTCTGATCCCCAATCATTTTCTCAGCCTCAAGGGTTCCATGACTGCCACGCTCCGACGTATATCGAAACCTATGCCCGTTTCTCTGTGGTTGTCTTAATATTTCCAAGTCTGAAATGTAACACAATTGAGGATTTGTTGCATGTCAAGTCAAATGTGCAATGGATGCAGAGTAAATTCTGCACGTAAGAACACCCATCAGTTTTTGTCTACATAATGTT